AATTTAAGCGTGCTACTAGGTTGGCATTTCGGTCCCACCTTTTCACTGTCGAAGCAGTTAAATGTAACCACCTCTTCTACCCTAACAGCTTCTTCTCTTGCACTTCCCGACAGTGGAACTCCATTTCTCTTACTTGCTTCCCTGATAGCTATAATCTTCAAATATTCAAATGTAATGTCAATCAACATCATCTGATATCTTGATGCTGATCCCCGTCCTTCTCTATATCCTTTCCTCAAACGCCCCCCTCTTTACTCTTACTCTCACTCTCTGTAACCCCTTGCGTGCTAGTGACACCCTCGTCTTGCTCGGGGTAAAATGCTTAAAACAAAGTCTGATGCTCTTAGAAACATTTAATGCATAATAGAGTTGTTTATTCTTTGCACCAAGTTGTCATAATTTTCTATTCGACAATATGCATAAAGTCATAACACTCTTTGTTTTGTATTCTCCAGTTTGATTTTCAGGCAAATAACCTGAGAAGTGAATGGGGTCTAGTGAATAGGAAGTTTGGAAGTCCTTGAGTTGCCAATTAGTCATTTAGTCTTGAATCCTAAATGAATGATGCCTGTGTCGTTGGGAAATGTTTAAATCATCAATTGATATCCAACGGAACATCAATTGACGATGACCGCCGTTTAAGGGTTGAAGCAGTGAACTATCCTGTTTTTTTTTTTTTTTTTTTTTATTAATTTGTTTTTGTTCTTAATTTCGTATTGTTAACTACCGTAGTTGTCCCCCCCCTTCTTTTGCTCCTTTTATTTATTACTTTTGTTGCGACAATTTTTACCACTTTTCAAATAAACTGATGTACAAGTGTTACTTGTTCCCGAAAGTCTTACTTCCGTTTCCTTTTTTCCTACTTCCGTTTCCTACTTCTGGATAGCGGCTGGTTGCTTTGAAACTCTCACTTAATGTTACTGCTTGTTGTCAAAACTATCGAGGCTTCAGGTCAAGATAAAATAGTTTGATATACTAAATGTGGGCCTATTTCTAATAACGGGCCATAAAGAAAGAACTTTTCTTCGTCTGGTACTTTGGCATAAAAGTGGGACATCCAGTCAAGCTCTTGATGGCCATCACTCTACAAATACCGTGTGTACTCGTGTATAAGTCGACATGATGTATAGAGCGGTCCCTGATTTTTTTTTTTTGCATGAACTTTAACGCGACCAGAAAAAAAATTTCCTGTGTATATTTTTGAGGTAAAAAATAAAATTGATCATAAAAATTCGCACTATGTGTGTGTGTGTGTATATATATATATATATATATATATATATATATATATATATACAATATACCCAAATTTCTCTACTGTATTTGAGTTCCTACGCAGTTGACATTGAAATCGATCTAATTCCACTTTCCTTCCTCTTTTTCAGCAACCAATCATTGACAATTTTTCAATAAAAGGAATACCCACAATGAAAGGAAACCGTATAGAATTTCGGAATGTCCATTTCCATTATCCATCAAGGCCAGATGTCAGGGTAATTAATTTTTCTTTGATTTTAATATAATTTTAAAAGAAAAAGACCGTAAAAAAAAAATAAATAAAAAGGATTTTAAGGATTTTCCCCACCCCTTATGGGGAAAAATTCTCAAACTTTATCGTCTGTTCTACCATATTTAACTATGAACACGTTCGGTGGTCATTCGGCTGTCAATGAATCGATTAACACGTCAGAAAAAAAACAGGACCTTGTGGTTAATGCTTGTATACAACATTTTATGTTATAAGTAATACTTGTTTCAAATTCGGTTAATTTAACTTTAAATTTGCTAATTTTCCTCAAATAACATTCCAGAAATACATATTTTATTTTTGCAAGATTTTTAAAACTGAGAATTAACTTTTGTTTACAAATGTGTCAAAATGGCTGTTTTCATCGATTTTACTGAAAAAATCGATTTCGATCAATATAATTTCGGTTTGAAATACACCAGAGTAATTTGCTTACTGGAAATAGTAAATTTTAAATCCTTTAGCTTTCAATTAACGCTAAAATGAAAGCTTCAAGAAAAGTTTTCATTTTTAAAAATTCATTTTAAACCATACATATATCAAAATTAGTGGAGGCACTTATTATTATTATTATTATTATTATTATAAGAATCTTCTTTGCTAATCGGTCTAGCGGCGTTGTC